ATTACAGGCATGTACCAGCACACCCAGCTAATTTTGTATTTTTAGTACAGACAGGGTTTCACCATGTTGACCAGGCTGGTTTTGAACTCCTGACCTCAGGTGATCCACCCACCTCGGCCTCCCGAAGTGCTGTGATTACAGGAGTGAGCCACCACGTGTAGCCTAGGTCTCAGTCTTTTAATGAACGTGTACCTCTGGACTGTGAACTTCATCAATGCCTCTCAGTTTTGTTTTTTCCCCTATGTGTGACAGGATGACTAAAGCTGGCTGAAACTGGGAATTTCTCTTTCTCCAGGTCAATTAGGCTCTGACATAGCCCAGCAGATTAGAGTCTGGTAAAATAGTTTCTTCTGCAGGTAACCCCTGTTAAGAAGAACATAATGCTCTGGGGCAGTGGTCCCCAACCTTTTTGGCACCTGGGACAGGCTTCGTGGAAGACAATTTTTCCACAGACAGAGTTGGGCAGGGGATAGTTTTGGGATGAAACTGTTCCACCTCAGATCATCAGGCCTTCATTCTCATAAGGAACATGCAACCTAAATCCTTTGCATGAGCAGTTCACCATAGAGTTCACACTCTTATGGGAATCGAATGCCACCACCCATCTGACAGGTGACAGAGCTCAGACCATAATGCTTGGTCACCTGCCACTCACCTCCTGCTGTATGGCCCAGTTCCTAACAGGCCATGGACCAGTACCGGTCCACAGTCCAGGGGTTGGGGACCCCTGCTCTGGGGTATTTCAAAATGGTTCATTTCTCCCTCCCCTGCTGGAAGCATGAGGGGATTTTCTCTCTGATTTTTCACTGTGATGACCTAGTAGAGCTCCTGGAGATAAAACTCCCAAAAGTGTGGTGGTCCCTCTATGACTGGGTTCCCCTGGAGTTTTAACTGTCAAACTAAGACTCCACACTAAGCCTCCAGCAATTCACCAGTTACAGTTTTTCCTGTCCTGGCACTGACTCTCACGGAGGTTTCTACTCATGAGTTTCTGCTCTGGTAAGTTGTGATTCTCTATATTCACCTATCTGTCTCTCCAGTTTGGGGGCAGCAGTTTGCCCAGTGACCTCACTTCTCTTAACAGATCCACAAAGAGTTATTTTTCAGTTTGTTCAGCTTTTTACTTGTTAAGACAGAGTGGCAACTTCTAAGCTCCTTCTATGATGGACTAGAAACTAGAAGTCCCCCTCCTTCTTTTTATGGCCAAACAACATTCCATTGTATGGATATACCACATTTTTAGCCATTCATCTATTGCTGGACATATGGGTTGTTTCTACCTTTTGGCTATTATGAATAACGCTGCTATAAATATGTGTACGTGTTTTTGGGAGAACATGTATTTTCATTTCTTGGGCATATACCTAGGAGTGGAATTGCTGAGTCATATGGTGATTCTATGTTTAATTATTGAGGAATTGCCAAACTTTTTCTGAAGTAGCTGTGCCATTTTACTTTCCTACTAGCAGTGTATGAAAATTCCAGTTTCTCTACATCTTCACCAACATGTTATTCTTTCACTTTATTTTAGCCATTCTAGTGGGTATGAAGAGGTATCTGAAGGGTTTTGATTTGTATTTCCCTGATGACTAATGAAATTGTACATATTTTCATGTGCTTATTGGCCACTTATATATCTTCCTTGGAGAAATGTCTGTTCAGATCCTTTGTTCATTTTTTAATTGGGTTATTTATTATTATTATTGAGTTGTAAGAGTTTTTAATATATTCTAAATATACATTTTTATAAGATATATGATTTGCAAATATTTTCTCCTATCCTGTGGGTTGTCTTCTTTTTTATAGTGTTCTTGGAAGCATAAAATATTTTCAATTTTATGAAATGCAATTTACCTATTTTTTTCTTTGTTGCTCATCTTTCATTTCTGATCTTCTGTCTGGGATTATTTCCTCTGAAGAATACCTTTAGTGAATGTCTACTGGTGACCAATTATCTGGGGGGTGTTTGGTCAAAAATTGCATTTATTTTACTTCCATTTCTCTAGGATATTTCCCTGGGTATAGAATACTAAGTTAGGGGTTTGGGGTACTTTTCCCAGTACATCAATGACGTTATTTTGCTGTTTTCTGGCTTCCATTGTTGCTATTGAGAAAAGTCAGCTGTTCTGTCACTCCTTTGAAAATACTATCCCTTTTCTCCAGCTTCTTTTAAGATTGTTTTCTTTGTGGTTTTCTTCAGATTCACTATGATATACCTAGATATAGATTTTTTTTTTTTTTTTTTGTATCCTACTTGGGCTTCTTGAATTCATGAATATTCAAATTGTTTTTTTTCTACAGACCTGAAAATTCTCAGCCATCATCTCCTTATATTTCTCTTTCTTTCTAGAACTCCACTCCAATTACAATAGTTAGATGTTCTCACTGTGCTTTATCATTCTTTCTTAAATATATTTAGTCTTTTTGTCTCTCAGGATGCATTCTGGATACTTTCTTCTGATCTGCCTTCCAGTTAGTTAATTTTCTCTTCAGCTGTATCTATTGTACCATTAAACAGACTGTAAGTTCTTAATTTTTTATTATTTAGTCTTCAAAGTTTATTTTATTTTTCTTAATTTACAGTATGGTTTCTCATATTTTTTTGCCCCCCAGTATTTCTTTAAGCATGATACACATTTTCCTTGTAGTCTGTGTCTAACAATTCTAATAACTAAAGTTTTGTGTGTGTTTCTGTTGTTCTCACTCAGGTGTCTTATTTCCTTAAGTACCTGACTATTTTTCACTGTGTGCCAGACATTTGATTTGAAAAATTATTTGTAAGAATGATTTGTTACCTAAAATGGTACTATTTTTCTGCAGAAAGGATTTTTGTTTGCTTTTACCAAGAGTCTGGGAACTCTACCAGTATGGAACCACCTTAATTCAAGTTCTAGGTTTGTGGTTTTCTGGATGACCCAGATGACTAGAACCTATAAGTCTGTGGGAGTTCATTTACTTATGCTTCATCATAACTTTCAGAGATAGCCATTTGGGATCCCAGCTGAAAGGGAGGAAAGAGGAACAGTTATCACAGGCCCCACTTTTGGTAGACTCTGGGCCTTATATTTTTTTCCTGAGGCCATCAAGACTATAACTGTTTCTTCTGGATTAGTAAATGTCCTTAGGGAAAATACAGCTTTACCTATTAAGCTTACTTCTCTGGGTTCTCATTTTTTACTAGATTTTAGTCAGCTAATTCTTTATTCTCTTATTAGCTCTTTGATACATTTAAGATGTTATTTTCCATATAGCTTTTCCCATCATCCTCTTTGGATGGTTTGGTCCTAATTAACTGCCCTCCTATATATATAGTGTCTCATGCAAGCTTCACAGCAGCTCTATTGGGTGAGAAAGCAAAGAAACTTTTATCTGAGGAACGTGAGCCCCCTTTAAATTATCAGGCCCAGGGAGGCATTGGAATGAGACAGTAGTCACATCCCACCCCACTCCCTGGAGCTAAGTAATCATCTCCTGAAGCCACTTGTTATTTGGACTCTAGACTCACTAATGCCCCAAGAAACTATAAATTAACCTAACAATGTTGCACATTGACATTATAACTCATAGCCTATATTAATATATAGCCAATTACTAATCAATGTTATTTCTACTAACCTATGAGGATTCCCAAGAAACACCTTTTGGAATCACCCCATCTCCTGATTCGCCCTGTCTTCTTTTAAAGCTGGGGCCTCTCCTTTATTCTCTGGAGCACTTCCCAAGGTAACGTGGAAGTGTTTTCCAGGTTGCAGTCCTCAAATTTAACCCAAATAAACTCTCTACTTATATTAATTTTGCCTAAATTTCTTCCTTTAGGTCAACATGAGTATATAGGATTACTTACATATTGTTAATGTAAAAACTGAGGCTCAGAATGGAGAAATGACTTGCCCCAGATTGCACAGAGGATGTTGTAGAGCATGAATTGGACATCAATTAGCAAAAGTTCCATTAACCACCTCCTTCACAAAACAGGTGCCAACTATATCTGCAAAACAGTCACAATGCCCTTCTGTACCACATGTCTGGGTGAATCAACTGACATTACAGTTTTGAAAGAGTTTACCAATGTGAAAAATTCTCTGCACACTGCAGAGATGATTACAATGAAATTTTACTTAGCAATGACAATGAGCTTTTATAGAAGTGTCTTCGATACTCACTGGGAACTACATTTTTAGTTAAGGAGTTGAAATTGGGTTTAAAGTCACCTCCTCATTCATTGTATTCATGCCTTTAGCATGTAATTAGCATCTACTCTGGGCAGACCTGTGCACAGAGATCTCCTGCCTCAGGGAGAATTGGACAAGACTGTATGACATGGTGTGATCAGTGCCTGGGGAAATGCTGGGAGCAGTAGTAGGACAGCAGCAGTAATAAACAAAACAACTACCATTTATTAGGCAGTTACCATGTACCAAACACTGACTGCTCTGAATTAGATACATACACACACACACACACACACACACACATTTGGTCCTCAAACAAGGTATGAGGAGGTATACTGGTCACTTACCAGCTGTGAGACCTTGGATAAGTTTTTTACATTTTTGCACAATGCGACTAACCATAGCCCCTACCTCCTAAGTGCGTCAATATAAAGGGTTTGATAAAGGCAGCTATTATATACTAGTCCTGTGGTCAGATGAAAACACCAAGGCTCAGAGAGTTTAATCCACCTGCCCACCTTCCACAGCTGATAAGCAAACATTACTGAGTACCTGCTGTGTGCAGGCCATAGTGCTAGGGGCTGGGCCTTATTCAGAGCAAACATGGCCCCTTTCTCAGATGGCCAAAACAGCCCAGTATCCAACTCTAAAGGCTCTGACTTTTCCCCCAGCATGGGCAGCAGAGCATGGACAGGTCATGGCAGGCTTCCCTCGGGAAATTCCTCCAGCTAGCTTACAAAGCACAAAGAGGGGTTTTGCAGATGGAAAAGCTGAGCAGGAGTGTTTCAGGCAGGGAGAACAATGCATGCTGAAAACGAGGGCACAGACCTTTTTCTTTCTTGTTCTGTCTGGGGAGGAGCACATCCTTCACCTGTGTTTTCCATCCAAGTGCTGACGCAGCATCCTTGTTACAAGGAAGTAGGTCACATTTCCAGTCCCTCAAAAGGAAACTGCTACCTCCATTGTGACAGAGTGTGAAACAGCCACCTCCGCTGCCTCCCCCACGTGCCTGTAATCCTGGCTCTCTGGAGTTTGCTATTCCCAGAGCAGCTTTCCTCTTCCTGACCGCCGAGTGAGCCTCGCATGGGAATTCAGCAGCAGCCCCTGAGCCGGCCCTGACAGAGGTGGGGGTGCGGTGGGGAGAATCTGAGGCTGCCGTGGGTGCCGTAGCTTGCTTCTGACGCAACTGACTTGTACCAAGAGGGGAGTGGCTTTTCCCAGGGGGAAAAAAGCTCAGGCAGTGAACATTGCAAAGGAAGTGGGGTCTCAAGCCCCACCTCGCCTATGGTCTACTCACACAGAGCTTTGGAGCCTTCCTTTAGAGGACGGCAGATACTCGGGGGACATCCCTGTATGAGAGTAAATCTAAGCCTGGGCAACAGATTACACCAAGGACCTGTGGCCATGGGCTCCATGCTGCCTGCACCTGCTTCTTAGAGCTCCACAGAAATTATTGAGCCCAGGCATGAGCCATGCAGTCAAGTGTTAGATTCGAGCCAAGGATGCCGAGTTCTCTGGGTAAGTGTTGTCTGGGAGAGTGTGTAATGTGGTAGAAACGGTGAAGATTTGGAGACAGATGGGTATCATGAGCAGAACTGTCTGAAAAGGACCCCAGAATGTCTTCCCATGTTGTCTAAGCAATGAGCTACAGGAGGACCACCCTGTTTCCACAGATTAATGGCCCCCTCTTCCCACCACCACGGCAGGGGAACTATAACATCCCACTGGCCCCCAAGATCCCCAAGACCCCTGGGTGCTGGCAGTCAGCATCCCCGAACAACCTCTGCAAACAGCCATCTCCCCAACTCCACTCCGCCTGGATCCAAGCAGCCTGGGATGCTCCAGGGACTGAGCCACTCTCTCATGTTTGCCCTTTCAGAGGGACACTCCAGGGAGAGAAGGAGGGGGCACTGGGAGACCCCTGGCTCAGAAGACTTCTGACTGGGCCACTTCCTACTCTCAGTCCTCAGGGCCCCCTCCACTCCTGCCTCTATGGAGAAGGAATGAAGCCCTGGGTGCGGACAGTGCCATCCAGGAAGGGCTCCACTGGACAAGGACCTTCCGCTGTTGTTTTGCCCAAATTCATTCCTATGTTAATTTCCTAGGTCTGCCAGGAGAAGTTACCGCAAACTCGGTGGCTTCAAACAACAGAAATTTATTTTCTCATAGTTCTGGAGGTCAGAACTCCAAAACTGAGGTGTCGGCAGGGCCAGGCTCCCTCCGGAGGCTCTGAGGCCGTCTCAGCCCGGGTCTCTCTCTCAGCCTCTGGAGGCTGCCAGCCATCCTTGGTTTTCTTGCCTTGTAGATGTGCCCCTCCAATCTCTGCCCCCATCTTCACATCACCGTCTCCTCTTTGTATCTGTCTTCTCCTCTGTGTGTCTCTTTTAAAGACACTTGTCACTGGATTCAGGGTTCACTGGACAACCCGGGATAATCTCATCTCAAGATCTTTAACTTAAATACATTGACAAAGATGCCTCTTTCTTTTTTCTTTTTTTCTTTTTCTTTTTTTTTTTTTTTTTTTTTTTTGAGACAGAGTCTTACTCTGTCACCCAGGCTGGAGTGCAGTGGAGCAATCTTGGCTCACTGCAACCTCCGCCTCCCAGGTTCAAGTGATTCTCCTGCCTCAGCCTCCCGAGTAGCTGGGATTACAGGCACCCACCACTACGCCCAGCTAATTTTTATATTTTTAGTAGAGATGGGATTTAGCCATGTTGGCCAGGCTGGTCTTAAACTCCTGACTTCAGGTGATCCGCTGTCCTCAGCCTCGCAAAGTGCTGGGATTACAGGTGTGAGCCACTGTGCCCGGCCCAAAGATGCCTTTTTCAAGTAAAGTTTCATTAGCAGGTTCCAGGGACATATCTTCTGGGGTGGCCACCATTCAACCCACTACAAACCGCTTCCAGTTTCTCCAGAAGACGCAATGGGTCTAATTTCACCATCCGGAGGCAAGACAAACCTGTTATGTGTCAGGTGCTTTTACGTTTACTATGTCAATTCTTCTTCCTATTCCCTCTTTCTAGATGAGGAAATAGAGGATCAGAGATGTTAAGTAACTTGTCCAAGGACACACAGCTGAAAAGAAACACCAGGGCATGACACGCCAGGTCTACCTGTGTCATACAAAGGAGTCCCTTCTGGGTCTTCCCTGTCACACACCAGGGCTCAAGACAAATTCTACAATATCACATGGGATAGGTTAAGATAATTTCTTGGAGAGAGGGGGCACTCACGTGAGCCAATGGTCAGTAAGAAGACAGGTAGCCCCCTCAAACCTCCCATCCGTCCCCAGAGAGGAGTGGCAGGGCCAGGACACTGAGGACAGAGGTCAGATTGCTGGTGTCGAGAGAGCAGAGGGAGAGAGTCGGGCAAAGCCCTCCTGGTGAAGGGCCTGGTGGGGAGTTGGCATTTTCTCAGGATGTGGCAGCCAGCCATTGCAGGGTTGAGAGCCGGCAAGTGAGGAGATCTCCTATACCTTATTTATTTATTTATTTATTTATTTATTTATTTATTTCACTTTTTTTTTTTTTTTTTTTAAATGGAGTCTCGCTCTGTCTCCCAGGCTAAAGTGTAGTGACACGATCTCGGCTCACCGCAACCTCTACCTCCTGAGTTCAAGCTATTCTCCTGCCTCAGCCTCCTGAGTAGCTGGGATTCCAGGCACGTGCCACCACGCCTGGCTAATTTTTTAATTTTTAGTAGAGACGAGGTTTCACCATGTTAGCCAAGCTGGTGTCGAACTCCTGACCTCAAGTGATCCACCCACCTCGGTTTCCCAAAGTTCTGGGATTACAGGCGTGAGCCGCCATGCCCAGCCTCCTATTCCTTTTAAAAGCTCACTGTGTGAGGAAATATTAGACAAGCCCAAATTGAGGGATGTGCTGTAAAATAATTGGACTGTACTCAAAATGCCAAGGTCGTGACAGGTGAAGACAGACAAAGGTACTGCTCCCAGGTAAAGGAGACTGAAGAGGAGGAGGACAGAAGGTGATGCGTGAGCCAGATGCTCCTTCTGGGAGACAGGCAGCAGTGGAACAGGGCTGCAGATCCGCTGCCAGGACCGTGTCACAAGCGCAGCTTTTGATCACCGTGCTGCGGCCATGTGAGTGTCCTTGTGTGTCGAAATGTACCACTAGAGTATCTAGGGGCAAAGGGGCATCATGTTTGCAACTGACTCTAATGTTATAGAAAAAATACTTCTGTAGATAGAAAGAGACAAGCAAATGTGGGGAGCAGAGGGAAGGCTGTGTGGGAAGGCTTTGTACTATTGCCATTTTTCCGTAAGTCTAGGATTTCTGTTAAAAGTTAAAAGAAAAAGGTGAGGCTGCTGCGTGGAGAGCTGACTGTAGAAGGGGCGAGAGTGAGAGCAGGGAGCGTGGGGAGGGGTCTGTGCAGCAGAGAGCTGGGAGCATGGCAGGGTGGACCGTCGCAGTGGCAGTGGAGGTGGGGAGGGGTGAGATGAGAGATACATGCCGATGATGGAGCCATCAGGACCTCCTGGTGGGTTGGACTTGAGGGCTTGGGGGAAAGACAATAATCAAGATCCTTTAACTGGGTACAACAAAAATAGAAAGGATGAATAAGACCTACTATCTGATAGCACAATAGGGTGACTATAGCCATAGTAACTTAATTGTACATTTTAGAATAAGTTAGCATATAATTGAATTGTAACTCAAAGGATAAATGCTTGAGGGGATGGATACCCCATTCCCTATGATGTGGTTACTTCACATTTCATGCCTGTATCAAAACATCTCCTGTACCCCATCTCTCTCTCTCTCTCTATGTATATATATGTACTCACACACACAAAAAGGATCTTACAACCGAATGGAGGCCCCTTCCCAAAATGGGAAGGGCTGGGGGTGGGGGTGCCATTTAGGGTAATGGCAAGGGTGTCTGGTTTCAAGTGCCATCTCCAGAGCCGATCTCATGGAACAGTGTTTAACGCTGTGGAAGAGGACAATCCCATCCAGGGAGTCGATGCAGGGAAAACAAGAGACGATGGAGTCTCCCATATTTAGAAGTCTCTTAAGAGAAGAAACAGGGGTTCATTTTAAGCCCTAGGGATGAGTGATTTACAATGACGATTTATTAAGTGCTTCCAGGGTACTAGGCACTGAGCAAGGCATTTTCGATTTAATATCTTTTCCTCTTCTCCCAGCAGCCTTTTGAGATGAGCATCATTATCCGCATTTAAAACATGATGTTACTAAGGCTCAGAGAGGTGAAGTGACTTGCCCAAGGTCACACAGCCAGCAAGCAGCAGAGCTGGACTTTGAACCCAGTCCATCGCTGCTAGAGAACCGGCCTGGGAGTTCCTGTTTTCCATCGTGTCTTGCTCTGCTTCCCCACAGGACTGAGGTCTTACCTCCTTGACAGGAAGCCACACAGCTGTTTTTTCCTGACAGCTGTGGAGCTACTTTCCAAGGGAGGGAGTCTTTTGTTGCCAATCCAGCCCCTTCCAGGAAAGAGTCCCTGAACTGTAGGATTCCACCCACCCTTGATCCTCTGACATACAAAACCAGACCTGGCCGCTCCCAGGGCAAGCCCTTTGGCTCCCTGCATTTTCTGTTTCTCCTCCTCTGAAAACAGCTCCCAAGAGGGTGAGGCCCAGCATCCTGGGGCCCTGGTCCATTCTGTGGATGGATGCAAGTTTGCACTCCTATACTTGTGTCATGTTGTTAACAGAGATCAATAGCCATGGCTATGAGTCATTGAGAACCTACTGTGCATCAGGCTTTCTATGTACATTAAGTCTAATTTCCCCAGGACCAGATAAAACCGATATTCCCAGCCTCACTTTCAATACAGAGAGCCCGTGGCTCAGAGGGTTGAAGAGGCCTCTCTGAAGTCACGAGGCTGGGAAGAGTAGCTAAGCCAGGATTCAGCCCACAGCACAGAGCTGCCCCACTGGTGCCCAGTAATGCCTTCTTCCATGGACTCAAGCTCTCTGGAGGTTCTGACCACAAGGCTCCATCCAGCTTCTGAGCTTCAGGGTCATGAACACAGGCCAAGCCAAAAGGCAAAAAAATGGTTTTGCTCCCCTGGCTCCAGCCCCTGCTATAGGCCCTGGCTTTCCAATATCCATGGCTTCTGCCTGCTCTCTCTGTCCTAGCACAGCCTCACCCCGCCACACCCAGCCCAGCCCAAGCCAGACTCGGTCTGCAAAACACTCTGTTTCTCATCCCACCTTTCGTCTGCTTCTCCTCTGGGCAGCCCCAGCC